CAGTGTGTGCTGGAGCTAGAACTGGAATGAGCTCCTTGCTCCCAGTTCACTCTGGTTGGCATACTCCTCTTGCAGTCAGCCCAGTAGTCTTCCCTGTGTGACTCTCCCAAGAATATTTGGTTGCCTCCTCACTGTACACGTCATTTGTATTTGGCTACAGGAATACAAAGGCAAGATTGTGTACAAAGCTCACCAATCACTGGGAAAACTATACTTTTCACTTTTTTTGTTTGTTTGGTTTTGTTTTGTTTTTCAAGACAGGGTTTCTCTATATTGTTTTGGAGGCTGTCCTGGAACTCGCTCCGTAGACCAGGCTGACCTCGAAGTCACAGAGATCCCCCTGCCTCTGCCTTCCCGAGCGCTGGGATTAAAGGCGTGCACCACCACTGCCCGGCTTACCTTCACATCTTTAGAAATAAATAAATAAAACAAAGCAGCATAGAGTGTGGTAAGGCCAGAAACAGCAGTGAGTGGGGGAGCCTTATGGGATGGGGCGAGGAAGAGAGTAGAGTGGCTTCACAGAGAAGTCAGTGCGAACGTATGCAAATCACATTCTCACAGGTGGCCTGGGTCTCACCCTTAGTACTCCCAGGACAGCAAGTGTTCGTGGGCACACTGGAACTAACGAGCACCATAAAGGGACAAGTAGTACCCAGGAGCGCAAACAGTACCGGTGTGCCAGCGTGGGAGCGCCCTGAGATCTTCCAGGGAACAGCTTGGAGGAGTATGGTAGCTGACAGCCCCCAGCTGCTGTCCCTCTGCAGCCCAGCCCACCACTGCAGTCACACAGGGGTGACACTCCCTGTGAGTCCCAGACCAGAGTCAGAGCATGACGAAGGCACCAGAGCCGGGCCATTACTGTCCAGCCTAGGAGTGCCAGGTACTCGTGGACCTGCTCACACCTTCTCAGAGGTGCCCTGCCTCCCGGTGCTTCCTGTCCAGTCCCTCTTTCTTCACTCTCCTCCCACACCGTTGTGCTCTGTGTGAAGAAGCTCTCCCTGCCTACTCTTGCCTCCTCTCCTTTGTGAATTCCGGGAGGCAGAATGGATAGGAGGGGGAGCTAGCGAGCGGAGGGAAGTCGAGGGGGAGGGGGTGCAGCAAGGGTAGGTGTTTGGAGCAATGCCTTTGTTTTGTAAGTGAGGAAAAATGGAGAATGAAGGGCAGACAGCACAGAAAGCCCTGCCATCAAGATGTAGGGAGAGTAAATTCCAGGAGGACAACCGTCTTGTGGATTCTAGAGAGAAATGAAAAGTGGTGAAAATTATTCAGTCATATATATTTGGTTTTGGAAAAACCACCAACAAAAGATGTTGAGTGAATGTATAAACAGAGACAGGGAACCATTCAGGCAAATAACAACCCCCCGCCCCCCTCCCCGTTCTCAGGCACTTTCTCCCAGAAAAATTAAGTTTCCTTATTTGTCTAGTTATTTCCTTGCTTTTTGGTACAGCATCTCCATATGTGATGCAAAGGGGCCTCAAATGTTCTGTGTGCTCAGACGGGCCCCAGGCTCCCTAGAGCTGAAGTGACAGGCGTGTGCCACCACGCCTGGTAAAAACTTAGTGTTCACTCGCCGCAAAACCAGTCCTGCAGGTCTTTTCCTTGCGGTTTGCCCATGTAAAGCAAGTGTTTCCGTGGGTGCCAGGGAAGGAGGAGATGTGCAGGGGGGGAGAGGACAGGAGAAAGAAGGGGAGGATTTTTTCATCTTTTTTTTAGGTTAGCATAAAGAAGTAGGTTTAGTTATGCCATTTCACACAAACGTGCCCTCATCTTGTTTATTTCCCACCCCCAATGTCCTCAGGGATTTTTTTCAAAAAGGGTCTGACTGACAGCAGTGTGGTCTCCGTGGCTTCTCATGCACCACTTTGGAATCTGGGTGTTTGGGCAGCGTGGGATGGGGGCGTAAGAAAGCAGCAAGACTGCTCCCGTGGGTGTGGAAGAGGAGGCTGGCACGAAACAAGACTGGGTAAGCGGGAAGACTTTCTCTGCCACAGGGCAATCTGGGGCCCTGGGTAAATCTTCAAAGGAAGGGGCAGGGACAGGACCTTTCAGCCTATCCAATGTTCCCACTTAGTGGCAAATTGCAGTGAGGGAAGGGGAGCAGGTGTGCCCCCGAGGAGACAACTGGGAACTGCTTTGGGCATCCTGCCACGTTATCCTCCCTGCCCTCTGACCCAGGAGTCAGGTCACCCCACACCCTGGAACCCTAGCATTAACCAGCCTTGCTAAGGACACATGGAGTCCTTGCTGCTGTCTTATCTGGGCTACAAGCCTTTTAAGGAGGGTCTGCCATGTGGTTAATATCAGAATCCCTGACTCCAGCATGGTGTCTGGCACAAGGCCACTCACTGTCTGTTGGAAGGAAAAAAACAAAAACAGTCAACACTCTGGAAATTTTGGTCGAACGACTTGGGTAAAGAAAAGGAACCGATTACATTTTTAAAGGAAAGCCCTTTTAAAGTATGCGGTTCAGTGGTATTTAGTGTGCTCACCACTCACCCACCCTCAGAACATTTTCCATCAGGAAAATCTTCATACCCCTTAAATACTATCTCTCCATTCCCCCGCCCCCAGTCCCCACTGTCACTGCTACACTTCTTGTCTCTATGACTTGACTATTCCAGGTACCCTTGTGACTGGGCCATTTCTTGAAGAGTTAATGTAGGTCACCCATGCTATAGCATAAATCACAACTCCTTTCCTATTTCTTACTTATTCATTTATTTATGGTGTGTGTGTGTGTGTGTGTGCATACACAGAGGCCAGAGGAGGATGTCATGTTTTATTCCCTTGAGGGACATTTGCCGGGCCTGGAACTAGGTTGGTGGCCAACAAGCCCTAATTATCCTCTTAACCAACACCCCCACCCCACCCCTTCACACACATCGGTGAGGTTATAAGCATGTAGCCACACTCAGTTGTTTTTTGTTTGTTTGTTTTTTTATGCAGATACTGGGATTTGAACTCAGGTCCTTATGCTTGAATAGCAAGCTCTCACCCTCTGAGTCATCTCCTCAGGCCCATTTCTTTCCTCTTTAATAATATTCCCAAATAGGGTTATACCATATTCTGTTCCTCTCTCTTTCTGTGGAATTTGGGTTGTTTCTACATGTTGACTATAAATAATGCCTCTGTGAATGCAGACTACAAACACATCTTTAAGATCCTGTTTTGAATGCTTTGGGGCATATCTAGACTTCTTCCCCCCTGGCTTTTGGAGTTAAAAACACAGCTAGATCTGAAGCCCTCTGTCCTGCAGAGGAGATGGCATAGTCAGGAATGCAAGCTTTGGGGCAAGCACAGGGTTCAGGAGAGATGAGAAAAGATGTAAGATGACCTGATTCTTCATTCCATAAGTAGAGGTGACTTCATCTGCTGCCCAGAGCAGTGGCAGGGAGAGTTGAATCCGAACTTGAGAGAAGAGAAGAGTCATAGCAACTGTTGAAGGGAATGAATCCAGAAGATGAGGAGATTTGGAGTCAGATGTTAAAGACAAGTGAAGAGCCCAGTGCTATGTTTCTGTACGTGCTTCAGGAGATGGGGTAAAAAGCAGAAACACCCCCTATTTTGGAGACAGGGTCTCATGTAGCCTAGCTGGCCTCAAACTTGCTGTGTTGTCTAGAGCAACCTTGATCTTCTGGTCCTCCAGCCTCTACTTCCCAAGTGCTGAGATTATAGGCCTGCGTCAGCAAGCCTTATTTATGGGATACTGAGGAGAGAGCCCAGGGCCTTGTGCATTCTAGGCAAGTAGTCTACTGACTGTACTACATCCCAAGCTAATTTCAAATCCAGCTCATTTGTGGGTTGGGAGTAAGAAAAGCTTGTGGTAAGTGTGCTTAGAAACAATCCTTACAGAAGGCTACGGGAGTCTGGCAGAATTTACAGGTGGTGGGCTGGGTCATGTAGTAAGGTCAAGGGCTATAGAGGAAGGCAGAAAAAAAAGTGGATACTGAAAGTGATCCGGCTTTGTAAATGGGCCAGAAGATGATGGAGAAGGTCAAGGGAGGAAAGGGCAACTAGACGCCGAAGAAGCGCTGAGTGTGACATACTTAAACAAACCTAGGTCCCCACAGAGGCTCCCTGAGAAACAAGGAGGGTCACACCACAGCCATGACACCATTATCTGTTCTATCAAATCTCTCCCAAAGCCTCCTGTGAGCTTGTCGTTCCCATGATCCCTCGCTACACCCAGACTGCCCATCTTCCTAGACAATAGGAACTTTCCTTACCATTAAGATCTCCTTACCAAGCATCTCCCTTTGTGCTGGTCTTCATCCCTATAGTCATTGCCTGGCCCAAAGCCTACCCATAACAGAAATCTAAGACCTCAGGGAGTCCCTTGGGTGATTCCACGGGGCTGACGGCACGGCCAGAAGTTCTCCACTGTCTTAGGTCACTATGTAGCTGTGGGCTGAAGGGAAAGTATCCAGGGATTTCATTTTGAACTCAGTTTTGGTCTTTTGTGGTAAAGCACGTGAAAAAGAGAAGATGGATAAGGCAGGAAGAAGGGGGAGAAGAGGAAGGAGGAGAAAGGAGAGGTGGAAGAAAACGGGGAGGAAGAGAAAGAGAAGCTGTTTTTAAAAACAATTGTCCTGCAATACCTATCCCCCACCCCCACCCCACCCCCATTATCTTCTGAGCTGGGACTTCCTTTGTCTAGTGGTAAAACTTTGTTCCTTTCTCCCTGGGTTGGCCCATACTGCCTTGGTTCCTTTGGGCATTGTCTTCTCTTTCCAGCTCTGCGGGTCTCTGCTTTCCTGGGGGTACCTGCTCTGTCTACCTCCTGCCCTCTCAGGGTAATCTGTAGCTGCACCCTGCGGTTTGCTACCTACAGTCCCTTTCCTTGCTTCTCTGAGCTTTGGGCTGCCCCCGCCCCCTGCGCACTGCTGCTGTTCTAGAACTGTGTAGAGACGGGTTTGTTTTTTCTAAGCAGTCTGTTGCACTAGCATTTTGCTGAGCTCTTGGTATTGTCTTTCTCTCCCCTTTTTCTCTCCTTGCAGACATGTTAGAGGCCCTCCCACGGGCTGTCCATCTAAGGAAAGCATTGCTCTCCTGAGTCACCGAGTATCCAAATGACTGACTCACACACTTGCAAATGTGCCGGCAGTCAGGTAAACAGACACGGTTCTTAGGGGAGGGGGGGGCGCAGTGCTCAGAGAGTGTGGAGGGAATTACCTGTGCAGCAAGTCAAATAGTAAGGCGGTTAACTGTAAAAGATGGGCTAAGGAAAGAAAATAATTATAAAAGGAGATGTCCTCTCTGGTTTCCTTCTGCCTGAGGAGAGGCATCCCTTCATAGGCTATGTCAGGACTTGCTTGCTCTGTTTCCAGCCTTCTACTTTGGTCAGTTTTTGCCAAGCCCATGTCTCCTGTTGGTCTTTGTAAACTAGTGAGAGTCCCTGGCTTCCTGTGTTTGCACTGTCAGAACTCCCTGGAGACCTAGACTGTTTTGATTCTTGTCTGCCCCAGATAGAACACCCCTTGCTAGTTTTGATCCGTTTGAGACTAACCAACCAGAGACATGGCAGTCAAGCCTTCCCTTTCTGCCTGGCCCTTCTTAGGTGGTCCTATTGGGCAGGGAAAAGGGAAAGCAGAGCAGAGTTCCCAGGAAACATTTGAAGGATGCTTGTCCTTATGTGGCAGAAGCTGGAGGATGGAGAATTCCCAAGAAAGGAGTGGAAAGATGTAGAATAAGTTCTTTGCAACATGAGCAAAAGAAATAGGATAATTAACATGAACACCAGTCAAATAGTTAAGGATCTTGTGGCTTGTGGCTTACAAACTGACCCACATGTTAAGAAATGAAGGCAACAAGTCTTGGAGTCAAATACTGGAGCAGAACATAAGAAGGTGGGTGACTTGGTGGCCATCTAGACCCTCAGCTTACCACTGTTTTAAATGTTGCTCTATAAACAGGAATGCCCATCTCACACTGTCATTCTTTTGCTGACCTGTTGTACAGATATTCTTTATTTCAAGTTCATGCCTGTCATGGGGGTTGCAAAACAGCACCACCAGAGGACCTTCTTCCTGTAGCTGCAATCATCACAGAAGTCAGGACACAGCTCCAGAAGTCACACACCTACAGCTGGCCAGTCCCCACATGTCTGTCATCACAGCCACTCTCCAGTGGAGACTTCAAGATCATAACTTTCAGGCTTCTATGAGCTACAGAGTGAGTTCAAGGCCAGTCTGTGTAATTTAGTGGCACCCTGTCTCCAAATAAAAGCAAAATAATTCTGGGGAGTATCTCAACAGTAAAGGGCTTGTCTACACAAGGCCCCCATAGCAATAGCCAGTATCACAAAATAAAGTATGTGATTATGAAAATAGTTAGGATCATGGGCTTCCATGGGGGGAATCCCAGGCAAGTAGACGGATTGCAAGAGGCCACGTGAAGATTGGCCTCATAAGGAGCGTAGTGGTAAGAAGACAAAGAAAGAGACAGTCCTCAGTTGGTGATTTACTGCATTCCAGTTACAATGACAAACTCTACAATAGTCCTCTACAGTTGAAGTCAATGGGCAGGGTGTTTGCTATCTTCTGCGACCACCAGACACTGCACAAGTTTCACCAACAAACCCTTGGTTTCTGGTTGCTAGATGAGGGCCAGGCATGGTGGGTTTCAGATACCATCCTTACCATAGTGCAGATCTGAAAGGTGTATGCTGTGCATGAGAGAATAAACATATAGTCATGAAGCTTTCAGCTCCAGAAATGGAAGCTTGGCTAATTGTAACTTTATTGATGAACATACTTAATTATTACATGCAACAGAAGTGGTGCTACATGCATGTAAGCCAAGCACTTGAGGACAGGCAGAGGTGCTGGCGGCCATGTAAGAGGAGCAGCAGGTGGCAATTGAAGTTAAAGGTATCAGCCCACCAGGAGGAAACTCTGATGGGTGAATTTCCCTAGACCCCAGGCCCCAGAATGTCTTTTGTTTCTGCTGTGCCTTTACATGTTTGCTGCTGCTATCTTTTTTTTGTTTGTTTGTTTGTTTTTTTGTTTTTCGAGACAGGGTTTCTCTGTATTGTTTTGGAGGCTGTCCTGGAACTCACTCTGTAGACCAGGCTGGCCTCGAACTTACAGAGATCCACCTGCCTCTGCCTCCCAAGTGCTGGGATTAAAGGCGTGCGCCACCAACGCCCGGCTGCTGCTGCTATCTTTCTCTGGTATCTGGTATGGTGTGAATGGGTGTGGGGAGATCCCCACTGCCTGTAATGTAGTGTGTTTGTCTTTTGGAAACATCCAGTTCTACAGGGTATTTTTTTTTTTACCTGTGGATTACTATGAAGACGATTCCTCCCTAAGCTGTACTATATAATTCATAATAACAGTGCTAGTTTATACAGGATTTTGATGAATACAAGAAAATGACACACAATCAGCACCTGTGAGTTCCACCTAAGTAGCTGCATAGGATTAGGAGTTCAAGGTGAGCCTTGACTGTGTAGCAAGTTTATGATCAGCCTGGGCTATATATCTCAACTGGAGGGAATCATCTACAGAGCTGTAACTGCCCACACATGCTCATCTTCAGTGCGGGTACTTCTGCATGTCTTGGGCTAATCTTGCCACATTCACAATATGATGGCTGCAGTTGGTCATGGAACTGCATTTCAAACATGAAGAAAAGAGCAAGGGCCAAAGACATTTTCCCTGTCTGCTCTGTCTTTCCATTCACAAAGAAACTTTCTACCAGAGACACTGCAAAACAGTTATCCAGAAGCCCCACTGGCTAGAACTAAGTTATATGCCATGCCCTACTGAAAGTTAAACTAATTATAATTTTCCATGGCCCTAGTAGACCATGACCAGCTCCCATCAGGCCAAATGCTTGCTACCTCAGTAAAACCAGAGAAGAGTATGAGGATGGTGAATGTGTTGCAAGGACCTGTATCTACCTCATGTGCCCCTTCCCATTGGCTCCTCCTTGATGGTAGCCTTTGAGTACAATCCTAAAATTAATCCTCCCCGCCACACATACATAATGGATCTGACTTGCACAAGGACAGCAAGTCAAAATTCCGATCAGCACACTTTTATTCTGAATAACTTATTGGTTATATTTCATAATATTGGTGACTAAGGAGTTGAAAACATGGCTCAGAGGTCAAATGCACACAGGACAGCAGTTTCGTTCCCAGCACCCACATTTGGTGGCTTTCAACCACCTGTAGCTTTAGCATCAGGATATCTGATACCCTCTCCTTGCCATCAAAAGGGCCCACATGTATGTACACAGAAATAAATAATGCATATAACATAAATAAAAACAAAATAAATCTCTCTTTTTATTTTTGACAGAATCTCACTATATATCCCTGGCTGCCTGACTGGACTGGAACTCTCTATGTAGTCTAAGCTAGCCATTAACTCACAGAGATCTGCATCCCTACTGGGACTAATGGTGCATGACACCACACCTGGCAAAATAAATATTTTTTAAAAAGATTGGTAAATGAATGTATATTTATGTATAAAGGTTGCTTATATTAGATACTATATTTTTTCTCCTCTCCTGAACTAAAGTTAACCTACAAATGATTGGTCCCAGCTGATTTTGACGAGAGTGCTTCTTATAATTGTTGGTTTCTTTGCTGGAAGTCCCTGTTTTGTTGAAATCTCGAGGGCAGGGTTTGGTGTTCCATCTTAAGCTCTCAGACTCGGAGTAGTGCAGCCAGGAGCCACATTCACTCACTGAGCCCTGAAAGCATGGGATGCGTGAGTTAAATTTTCAATCTTGTTTTCATTCATCTAAATTTAATTTGTATTCAGCTCTTAAATATGCTTTTACTAATTCAGATATGTGAATCTCTTCTTCAGCCATCCATGCTGCGAAACCTTACAAGTGGTTCAACTCTATGATGAAGGTCTACTATGTCAGCTGAGGTTATTATACATGTAAAACTATCAAATCCTGAGAAAAGAGTTTTTAAAAAAAAACTCAATTTATATAAAGATTATTTACTGGAATGGTGACATTTCAAATATACTTGGTCTATAAAATATATTAAAAATAATTTTACTTGTCTTTTTGTTTTTTGAGATAGGGTCTCTCTCTAGCACGGACTGGTCTGGAACTTGTGCAGACTAAGCCGGCATCAAACTCACAGAAATTTGCTGGCCTCTGCCTCCTGAATGCCACCATTAAAGACATGCACCAGCATGCCTGGTTTCTCCACTGCTTTTTAGAGGTGGCCAATAGAAAATGAGAAATCAGTCTCACATGAGGTTTCTTTCTGTTTCTCTGGGGAAGCACTGCTCTCATGCAAACGGGTTACTACAAGTGTTTGATGAATGAATGCATGAGTCTGTCACATAAACTCCAGACTGAATCACAGAGTTCCTGATTTCCGTGTCCCTTCCTTCCCATCCTTCTTTGCAGCCTCTGATGTTGCATGTTAGCTTCCTGGTCATGCTGGCATATTCACCTGCAAGACAGGAACTGTGCTTATGGGAGTAAGCTTTGGAAACTCTCAGGGGAGAAAGAAGTGCCTGTGTTGAGGGTCTAGAAAAGGCGTGGCTTGTAGGAAAACTGAACCTTTTTGATGGAGCAAAGTCGGGATGTTAATTTCCAGTTGACCTTTTGGTTTCAGGGTTTGCCATTTCTGGATGTCCATGTTGAAATCCCATTGGATGTCATTCTGATAAGTATACATTCCATAAAAGGGTGGGGACTGTACTTCTGAGCAGATTCTTGCTCTTGGACCTTGATGTCCCCAAAGCAGACAAACCACCTTGGCTGTGTGACTACACCTAGAGAACAGAGAAATGTCACCACCCAGGCTGGGCACCAGAAGGGATTTCCTGGGAAGATCTGCTCTGTCTGAACCTGCAAGGGCCATACCCCAGCTTCCAGGGACCTAGCAAGGAGCTAGTCACTGCTCTCCAGATATATAGAAAAAAGGATATATATTGAAATTCTCACCGTGAGTCACCGTGGGCAAGATTAGGTGTGACTTTGTTTTCTTCTTTATACTGTAGTCTTAAAATGCGTAATTGTTTACTATTTCTAAAGCAACATTTAGAAACCTAATTTTGAGATATTCCTAACCCAGCTTCCCATGCAACCTCTCTGGATTTCCTTAAATACTCAGTTTGGCTTTGTGACAGTTGGCTCTATATAAAATTTTGAGCCAGCTTGTAGCTCTTTAGGACCTACTATGTGGGCACTTGCTTCCTGGTATCACACAGATAGAGGATGCTCTTCCCCTCCCAAGCTATTGGGAAGATGTAGGAGACAAAAGTGTGGGGAGCCTGGGTGTGTGCTAGACCATACATCAGTGGGGATGTTCACTGTGAACTTTATCCCCTCACAATTCTCTGCCTTATGTAGTGTTGTTCCTTAATATAATTAATTCAATTAATTTTTTTATTTTATTGTGTGTGTGTTTGTGCACATGCGTGCACACTTGTGCACACACAGGTATATACATTCCACTGCACACTTATGATGTTCAGAGAACAGCTTTTGGGAGTTGATTCTGTCCTTCTTCTGTGGGTCCCAGGCTTAAACTCCAGCTGTCAAATTTGTGCAGCCAAGAGCCTTTAACTACTGAGCCATATTGCCAACCCCATTTATTTTCTTTTTAAAACAGAATTTCATTGTGTATGTTCATTGTACATGGCACTGTGTTACATAGGATGCTCTCACACAAGTATACATGCTACATTTGACTGCACTTCCCTCCCATCCCCTCATTTCTGGTCCATCCCCCTCAATAGTCTCCTCTGGATGGATTAGTTCCTCTGGATAGCTGCTCTTCTACTTTCATGTTATATATACCTATATGAATATTTCCTTTTTTAATTGTGATAAAATATATGTACCATTAAATGCCTGTAATCCCAGCACTCCCGAGGTGATGGACAGGAGAATAGTCAGAGGTTCAATGTCATCCCTGAGATACATGATACTTGGCTTCAATAATAATAATAATAAAATTTACCATGTTGATTTTTAAATGTATGTTGACTGCAATGGCATTAAGTATACATACATTGGTGATTGGTGTGCAACCATCATTACTATCCATTTTCAGAACCTTCTTTGCCTATTGAACTATAACTCTCTATGTCCCTGCCCCTATGCTCAGCCCCTGGTGACTACCATTCTTTCTGCCTCTGGAATTCGTCTACTCTTGGTCCCTCCAATGAGTGGAATCAGTGTCCTGTGACTGGCTTATTACACCTAGGGGTCCTCAAGGTCCATCACGTTGTAGTATATGTCAGAACTGCCTTTCTCTCAGGCACTGAGTACTGGTGCACATTCTTGTCTGCCCACTGAGTGGAAGAGGACCTGGGCTGTTTTCACCTTATTGTTTTTTGTGAACAGTGGTACTCCAAACATGGATGTATAAATATCTGTTTAAGAAATCCTTTTTCTAAAAAGCAGACTTGCTGGAGCATATGATTCTTTTTTTTTTTCAATTTTTTGTGTTGTTTTGTTTTTTGAGACAGGATTTCTCTGTATTATTTTGGAGGCTGTCCTGGAACTCGATCTGTAGACCAGGCTGGCCTCAAACTCACAGAGATCCGCCTGCCTCTGCCTCCCAACTGCTGGGATTAAAGGCTTGCACCACCAATGCCTGGCTATTTTTTCAATTTTTGAAGATTCCTCTAATTGTTTTCCATAGAAGCTACATAATTTCCCCACATAGTGTTATTTTAATTAACACTTCTTATTTAGGTTGCCATCTTTCTTTCTTTTTTTTTTTTTTTTTTGGTTTTTCGAGACAGGGTTTCTCTGTAGCTTTGGAGGCTGTCCTGGAACTCACTTTGTAGACCAGGCTGGCCTCCAACTCACAGAGATCCGCCTGCCTCTGCCTCCCGAGTGCTGGGATTAAAGGCGTGGGCCACCAACGCCCGGCAGTTGCCATCTTTCTGAGACCAAGCACCCTGTTCCATTCACTTCTAAATCTCTAAAATACTATAAGTGTCCACACATCTGTGAATAAAAATCATTCTTCCCAAGCTCCTAGGTCAATGGTTCTCAACCTGTCAGTTTCAACTCTTTGGGGGTTGAATGACCATTCACAGGAGTTGCCTAAGACCATAAAAAGCACAGATATTTACATTATGATTCATAATAACAGGATTACAATTATGAAGAAGTAATGAAAATTATTTTATGGTTGGGGGGTCACCACAACATGAGGAACTGTAAGTTTTTGAAGATATAAATGTTAGCAGGGGTATAAATCATAAGATCTTAGTGCTGAGCCCAAGGAATGCCACAGCCTACAGATGAGCTCCTAGGACAGTGTTTTGAAAACTTCCTAAGGCTGCCACCCTTTCACTCAGTTCTTCGTGTTGTGGTGACCCCCAGCCACACTGCTGAAGTGACAAGAACCTGAGACTGGATAGGCCATGGCCCTAGGGGAAAACCAATTGCTACTATTCTCATGAGCTAGCATCATGGTCAAATGACTTCTAATGACACTCTGCTATGCCCACAGATCGGTAGCTTGCTCATGCATCCACAGAGATGCTTCCTCTTGCTGTAGATGGGCACTAGCACAGAGACCCACAACTGGGCAAAATGCGGAGAGTGAGAGACTTTGAAGTTCTCAGTCCTAAAAGTGATGCCTTCATCAAACCCCTCCCCTCAGGGTTCAGGGAGCTGTGAAGAAGAGGAGGGAAAAAGATTGTAAGAGCCAGAGGTGATAAGTGATTCCAATGAAAAGGTGTCTTCTAGACAAAACATGACGAATGCACGTATGTACTCACAGAGACTGTGGCAGCATACGCAGCACCTGCACAAGTTCAAACCGGATGAGGTCCTGGTGCTGAGGGGCAGAAGTCATCATGTGCTCCCACCCCTAACCAAGAAGGATTCTGTAATTAATACCCACAGGCAATGCGAAGTTTAGTTTTCTCCAATGGAGTTTCACTGAGTATATTAACCATATAAATCATGGTAGGCCACGTGCATGGTGGCCAACACAAAAATGAACTCAGTGGTATTTGCCTCAATTTTTGTTTGGACATTGTTTTTTTGGGGGGGTCTTGTTGGTCTTAGGCTTGTATATTTTGGTTTCTGTTTTTGTGTTTTCATGAGGTTTGTGTTCGTGGTTTGTGCTTTTTGTTTGTTTTTTAAAGAAAGGGGAAGGCTGTGGAATTGGGTAGAAAGGGAGGTGGGGAGGATCTTGGAGGAGTTTGGGGAGGGGAAAAGTGTCATCAGAATATATTAGATGTGAATTGCTTTCAATTAAAATTAAAAAAATAAATAAAAGAACAAGCAAAAATAAAGAAAGAAGTCCTATTTTCAAATGCAAAAATTTTGGGGAATTTAGTCTTTAACATAATCTGAAGGCAAGTATTCTATTGCCTGTTTTATATTGTCATGTATGTGTATATATGTGTATTTATATAAATGTGAAAAATATATATGCAAATGCAAACATTTTCTGACATTATTTAGCATTTTGTTATTAATATCTTCTATCATATATAATGTTTCAATTTTGCTCTTCTTACAGCCTTTTTAAAATGACATGTTTAATAAGTCTGTATAAGACTATAAATCTATCTTTTATTATCATTATTGCTATATTATTATTAAAGGAGTAATAGACAGGCTTAATCATTGAACTGGGAAATGAAACAGATAATGAGATCCAGTGACCCGTGAGCTACTACAGTTTTAGTTGTAGGTTTAAGTGGAGGAAGGACTGGAACAAAAAGCAAGAATATGTCAAGTTGTCATCGTCTCAGGTCTGCGTCTTTAAGTGGCCCAATCAGATATCGCTAAAAGCCAGGGCTGGTGATGCACAACTCTAATTCCAGCACTCAGGAGGTAAAGGCAGGTGGATTTCAAGGAGTCTGAAGGCCAGCCTGGTCTATATAATGAGACTCTGTATAAAAAATAAAAAATGCATTTTTATAACTTTCATTGTCCGGGACCAATCTGACTCCTGAATGATGATGTCCTCAGGGTGTGGCCTCACTATCCTAGATAACTGTCCTCATTTCAAAGAGGAGAGGTCTGTTCTTAGGACTTTGTTGACCCTGGTGTCCAGGGTGACTACAGGGTTAGGACTTATCTCTGTGCCTTCAGCCTTGAAGAGGAACGAGAAGGTCAACTGAATAGTTACTCCTTGAGTGATTATCATGCCTACGCAGAACAAGCAGGAGTCTGCTCCAAAGCAGAGGAAACAGAAAATGAACTGAGAAAACTGAGAAAGGAGAAAGGGATGGTCAGTGGTGTAAGTGAAAAGTGATCAATGTTAAAGCTGAAAGAATCAGAGCACAGCATGGAGCCACAGCCAGAAGCATCCAACAAAATCAGCTGCATGTGGGTCCTGTTTTGTTTTCATAGATCCATGAGTATGGACCATGGAGAACATGTTTAGAGTTTTCTTGCCTCTGCTTCAGGAGAGGAACTGAATGATATGAAGTATACTGGAAGGAGTTTAGTTCTGGTGAGTATATATAAGATCCACACCTTTGGTTCCTGGACTGGCACAGGTGACTCCATTTTTATTTTGGCTTTGAAATGAGTTCTTGCCATGTAGCAGAAGATACTCCCAATTCACAGTCTGTCTGTTTCAGCCTCCCAAGTGGTAGACTACTTTCAATGAGCCACCACACCTAAGCATAACTTCATTTTGACAATTCCTCCCTTGTCTCTTTCCCTTGAAGACATTACTGAGTTGCCTTCTTGTTTAGCAGTTTGGTTGGCCTCTCCCTGCAGGGCTGAGATCTGTCCTCTCTGCTCTGGTATGATCCCAGATTGGGGGCAGGGTAGACAACAAGGAATCAATGCCCAGCTTACCAGTTAAGAGATTCTTGGATGTTTTTGCCTAGTGTTCTTTGCACAGGCTAGAGGGGGAGGGATACATTTAAACTGACACTTGGGTTTGTTTAATGGTCATGACTTTATTCCTATTTCCTACTTCTTAGACAGATTTGGGTTGGTTGTAGTTTCTTAGGAAAACATTCTTTTTTCTGAGTTTCAAGTTTAGTGGTAAAAAGTTATGTGTGGTGTTAGGTTTATTTCTTAATATTTTATTTATTCTTATTGTATGTACATTGGTGTTTTGCCTGCATGTTTGTCTGTGTGAGGGTGCCAGATTCCCGGGAACAGGAGTTACAGACAATTGTGAGCTACCATGTGGGTGCTGGGATTTAATTCAGGTCCTCTGGAAGAGCAGCCAGTGCTCTCAAACCCTGAGCCATCCCCTCCAACTCAGTGTTACTTTTTAAAATTAGACTTTGTCTGATATCACCTATTAAGCATTTTGTCTCTTTTGAAAATTAATTTTCTAGCCAATTTTTTGTTTGTTTTGGTTTTGACTTTTGGTTTTTCAATACAGAGTTTCTCTGTGTAACAGTTCTGCCCGTCCTGGAGTTCACTCTGTAGACCAGGCTAGCATTGAACTCACAGAGATCCAATATGCCTCTGTCTGTTGAGTGCTGGGATCAGAGGTATGTACCATCTAGCCAAATATTTAAGGTTTTATTTTAATGTATGTGTATAAGTGTTTTGCTTGCCTGTCTGCCTGTGCAGGTGCCTGGTGCCCAGGCAAGTTGGAAGCAGTGTCAGATTTCCTAGAACTGGAGTAATGAATAACTTTGAGGATTGAACCCAGGTCCTCTGTAAAAGCAGCCAGCTGGTGCTCTTAACTACTGAGTCATCTCTCCAGCACCCACCCTGCCCCAAATAATTTTAACTTTAAAAAAATCTGTTGTGATTTTTTTCATCTGTTTCAGTTCTTATAGTGTTTGGGTTTTTTGTTGTTGTTTGTTTTGTGGCCTTGTGTGTCTGTATTCAAAATTAGTGTTCAAAGCCAGAAGCTTTGCATGCTAGGCAGGCATTCAGCCACTGAGCTACACAGTCCCAGGCCAAGTTTGTGGTTTTCTCATAGGTTTTACTGAGTACCCTACCTCTACTCCAATGTTATTAATTTCTATGTCTATAGTAATTAATTCAGTTCTTACTGCTTGGCCTTATTTTGTTTGTTTTTCCCCCACAATTTTTATGGTTTAAAAAGTATGAGTTAGGACAGAGGGGTTTTGTTTTTGTTTTTTGTTTGTTTTTCTGAAAGCTGTTCTGGGCCCATGTGTGCTGCTTACAGTGTGGCTCACTTCCAAGTAGTTTCATTCCACTACACACTAAAAGATTCCTAGACGTACGTTTTCATATTTTAGGAGTGTAGATTTTGCTTTGGTTTATTTGTTAATTTCTAACTTTATTGTATTCTGGACAGTGAATGTGCATATAGGACAGTTTTCTTACATGTGGCTATTTTCTTTTAACACAAATGGTCAATTTTAATGAGTCATGTGTTTGTGTGTTTGTGTGCATACTTCTACACATTGTTAGCCTTTGAGATAGGCTGTAATTTTATTAAATTCAACAATAAACTATTACTGATTCATTGATTCAACAGACTTTCTTATTTTTAGCCTCCAAGCATTCTAAGAATTTGGGAAATTCTAATATTGGGGGACAAGAAGATTAGCAACAGACATGGTCCAGTTGCTGTGATTGGACAGCCTTGTCACTGAGAGGATGAGGAGTGACAATCCTGTCGGTGAATCAGGGAGTTACAGAACAAACATATTCTGTGAAGTGCGTTCACAGAACCTTGGTCCTGAGGAGGTCTCCCTCCTGATGATTGAACAGAAAGTCCAAAGATTGGAAGTTAAAAAAGAGCTGGGGAGAAGAGTGTCTGAGGCATTACAATTTGGTGATATCTCGCACAAATGATGCCTGTCTGGGGGTCAGAGAGTGGAGCTTGCCACAGCACACCTTACTTCCTAAGCATCTCCACAGAGAAGAAAGCGATATCCTGTTTGTTCTTGCTTATATACTGTTAATACCCAGTTATGTCACTTCCTGCCTGTCTGTACAGACCTCTATGATTAACTAGTGGCAAGCTCCATTCTCTGACCCCTAGACAGGCTTTATTTGTGCAAGATATCACCACATAACAACATGCTGTGGTCCCTTGCAGAATACAGACAAGTTCTCTGAGATCCTAGAAGCAGGCCAGTCTCCACAGCATCCAAAGCTGAGCAACAGGTCACATAGATCTTACCAAGAGTTTGGTTTTTTGTTTGTTTATTTTTTTAAGGCAGGGAGCCAGTAGAATTGCTCAGCTGCTAAAGGTACTTACCACCAAACTTGACAACCTGTATTCGATCCCTGGAACTGTGATGGTGAAAGGAAATAACCAATTCCTCTGCAAGTAGTACTCAGAGTTCTTCATGTGTGCGTTTGTACACACACACACACACTTTGAATGAATGAATGAGGAAGGACTGAATACAGGTAATAGACACAGATTATGAATAAGGATATAGTTAATTGGTTTTCTAGTTCTGTCATGGATTGGGGAGATTCATTGTTGGATAAGTGCATTAAAATGTGAATTGAAAATATAAAGGCCAGTGTGAAGTTCCAGTGTGAACTTCAGAATGTCTAACTGTATAGAAGCTCATTAAGATGACTGGTTAATTTTTACGTATGATTTTTTTGCCTTTTTTATAGTAATGTTAATTTAAAAAAAAAAAGATGTATCAGCAAAAACAGACAAAGGCACATTGTTCCAGTGTTAAGCCCTGGGCAAAGTGTGCTCCCTGCATACCCTTCAGCAAGACTCCCACACGGCTGGTAAGGACGCCAGGGCAGACAAGCATTTCCTCAGAGCAGGGAATGGGTAATAGGAAATGTCAGAAATGTCCGTGTGCACGAATAAACCTGGGAGCAAAAGGGAACAGAGGAGAAAGGAAAATAAACCAAAAGTAATAGGAATGGTTTATTTAAAAAAGTGCTATGTGATCACCTTCAAAGGAAGTTACATATCTATGTGTGTCTTCAAATGAAATCACATATCTAAGTGGGTGTGTGAATATGCAAAACAAAAGTAACTCAAAAAATAAATAAACGATATAACAGAAACTATTTTTGTTTGCTTTGTGTTGCTGTTTTGTTTCTGTCATTAGGAGTGCAGATGGTTTCCAGGATTCTGTTTGTAGTTTGAAACAGTAACTTTTGAGAGGGACTCTGTTTGCCCTGGAGAGTTCTTACGCCTTGTACTGTGCACACAGGGTTCGCTTCCTCCCGCCCCCCTCCCTTAACTGGGGTTAAACTGAATGCATTAAGGAAAGAATCACCCAGTGTGGCTTGTGCTTGGCAATGGCCTGAGTGACATTTACCTTATCTGAGGGCCAGGCCAATCTCCTCTGTGGCGGCCTACAAATTGCCCTGCATCCCTGAGCTGACTGCACTGGTGACAGATGACCATAAGGATGACAACAAAAATCTCCTAATGAGTTGAGGGATGACTGCCACTTTTTAAGAAGTATTTACTTGTGGCCTGGAGAGATGGCTTAGCAGTCGAGAGCAGCACTTCCTGCTTTTCCAGAGTTCGGTTTCTGGAACCCACACCAGGCAGTCCATAGTTACTTGTAGCTGCAGTCCCAGGGGGTCTAACTTCTGACCTCCTCAGACTCCCACATACACACGCACACCCCCCCTCCCACATAATTAAGGAAATTTAAAAACGAATTGCTGTATGTCCTAGTTCTGTGCTGTTTGCTATAAATATTCATTGAATCTTAACGTGAACCTCTCAACATGTTTTCATGACTCACACACGTCTGTTGCCATGTCTGACATTTGTTCAGAGAAGCCTTGCTGCTGCTCAGTTGAATGCAAGTTGCCTCCTTTAGTTTTGATCTGCCCTGTCTTCTTGTCACACACACACACACACACACACACACACACACACACACACTCTACTTCTGACTGTTACCACGGTGGGCTTTGAACCTAACAGCACACACAGGACAATGGTTTGCAGAGTATCACAAGAGGTAACATGCCCAAACGTACTCTTGCTTTTAGAAAGTCCCTGCTGTAGCATATACAAGAAAGCAGTTTCATGTAGAAACTGAACTTGAAAGGTGAGAAGCCAGAGGGACCATGCTAGGCCTGAGAGAATAGAGGGGAAAGGCATGAAGGCGGCACTGTGTGGCAGAGAAAAGGTCAGGATGTATGAGACACAAACAGCCACAAGGGAGAGAAATGGAGACTGGGGGTAAGCTACCATGCGCCCTGTGAAAGCAGAGTCCCTGGACGGTGGATAAGGATGGGGGGGTGGGGGATGAGCCACGGCTCTCTCTCTGAGGCCGTTATGCAGTCTCTGATAGCTCTGCTCAGATGGCCCCTGCTATCAGCTCACGAAGGATGCGGCTCTCTTCTTCAGGCAGATGGAGAGACCAGGTTCACGGAACAGCAAAGCCCTATCCTCAAGTATGGGAGCTTCTCTATGCCCCCAGGTACAGGGACAAAGATAGTGAGTCCAGCATAAACTCACTGAGTGTCCCCTGAGTGGGAGGCCTGGTGGCCACAGAGAGTCAGGTCAGAGTCCAGGTACGTGGGCGTGGAAAAGAAATGCTTTGCCACAACAAA